GGGGGGGGGAAGGGAGGGGGATCACGGGAAGTTTTACAGACGCGTTTACAGACGCGCGTTCACACGCGCACCGGTAACCTTGTGTGGTCCACAGGAGAGAGATAAAGTGAAACCATGGGGCCACGCTGTCTCGCGAGCCAACCTCGATCTCAGGGCCGTTCGCGCCGCACCGTTTCTTCCCGCTCCGGTTTTCATCTGCCTCTCTCTTTTCTTCTCTTCTCTTCTCTTCTGGTTTCCTTATCCTACCTTGTCTTGCTCCGACTCTGCGCGCCTTTACTTTTCCTCCCTTCCTTCTCTTCTCCTTTAAATAACCAGCCCGCTTAATTCACTCGTATTACACACACACACACGCACACGCACGCGCATATCTCGATAGTACGGATATGTATTACGAATCTCCAAATGTTCACAGATATCTGATTGTTTGCTCGTTTCCTCGCCTCTCGCGATCTCGATTTTCACGCGCTTTTTTTTTTTTTTTTTGTGCTTGATCGAGAATGAATCACGTGCAACCAGGAAGGAATAATTAAGGACAGTGATGGCCACAATTTTGCGCGTTTTCGATGCACGGCGAAACATACAGGAAGCGAAGAAACGTACGTGGAAAAAACGAATCGGAGAGGAAATTTAAAAAGTTTTAAATTTAAAAATTTAAAATTTACCAAGTATGTTTGAACTTGGATCGAGGAAATCTCCACTCTGCGCGAAATTATAATAGAAAATTGATTTTCCTCTTCACGGTTTTCAGTCATGTAAAAATTTTATAAAAATACCATGGTCAATTTGATGCCAGACACTTTGCTTTCGAGAATATCAAGTTTCATCATGATTGAAAATACACGGAGTATGCTGGCATGCTGCACTGTGGCCAATATTGACTTGCGAGTTTGTTAGCTATTTCATTTGGAGCAGAAAGTTAATTGGTATTAAACACAAAATAAAATTACGATTGATTAATTTCTATATCTAGTGCAATGTAATTGCTGACCGAAAGATTAATCATTTGCAATTTTCAACAATTTTGTATTTCTAGTTCAAAATTTCAATTCATTGTCTATTCTCTTGCTTCTCCAACTTCTCAAATTTTGATACTTAAATAAATAAATAAATTAATTAATTAAGTAATAATAGTACGATAAATTAAATTTTAATTTGCTAAGAACACGAAAGATATTAATACTGTGAGTAGTTATAATATCTTGGTCACTGTGAATAACCATGATTCAATGGTCATTTGGTATCATGATACACACATCTACCGTTCAAAGAATCGGAGCATCCGATCAGTTTTTGAATAAAATTATATTTTTTCGATTACGTGAAATACTTACTTATATACTGTTGCTACTTAGTTAAATTTGAATTTTAATGTAAAAATGGTATAAGTTAAAAAAGTAATAAAAAGGGATGAGATGAAACTCGTGCAAACTGCAGTGACATCAAAGAGTCTCTTTTATGCGAGCCATTGTAAAGTTATTACGTTACGGTTACATTTGGTACCGTAACGCAAAAATGGCATAAGTCAAAAAAGTAATAAGAATGGAGTAGAAGTTTTGTAATATCAAAGACTCTCTTTGTAAAGTTATATCTATCTTATGTGCCACTTCTGCATAAAATAGAATGAAGATTCGAAATGTGATATTAAATCAAATAAACAAAAAATCGATTTAAACTTGTCATTTGTGATTTCCAACGACACAGGATTTATGTATTTTCTGGGGCTTATTTTTTCAACGTGAAATTAATAGATACTCCAAATTTTTGCACTGTATATTTATGAGAATTGTTATGGAAAATTCTTTGTGTATGCATAAGTGAGATGATGTTTGAATAATTTTATCCTCAAAAAGTTGAATTGAAATTTTGTCTTTTGTGTTTTGTTTCGATTTCTTTGGTTATATGTTAAATAAAAGTAGATAAAGATAAGAAAATTTGACATAGTAAAAAGTTCATAAATGCTTCATTGAAAAGTTATAACAGTAAAAATACGACGTGTGACAAATACGATCAATTTCAACGATAGATTAATTTATTCTGTTCCCTTCATAATTTCGCCTTCTGAAGTTTGTTTCAAGTTCCAATTTCTGTCAAATTTTATATCGCTTGCAACATTTTAATTTTTTGCGCATAATCAAGAAGTAATATCGAACAAATGTTCATTCGGTGTTATGTCGTAACCAAGAGAGAGTACCTTTGTCGACATATCTTTTGCTTAGAAGAATCGTATGATTAGTTATGAAAAGGCAAACATTTCATTTGACGTAGCATAGAACATTGATCAATAATTGCAACGGTCTATTGACGTCAATTTGGAATGGAACGATCGAAGAAGTCTAATAACTTTCTAAAGTAATGTAATAATTCTAACAGTAATTACACACTAGGTACAGTGGAATGGAAAATTATAGCAGCGATACGGAAATTACAAAATTCCAAATGAAAGAATTGTTGAAAAATATGAGAAATTTTTGGCAATGAGTCTTATTTCTCCGATATTTCTGATATATATTATAACTAAAAAGAACGACTTTCGTATCTCAGAATTAAGAATACTAGTATGAGACACGTTTAGAATGAATACAGCTGCAGTTTACTGTAGCACATATAATTTTGTCTATAAATCATCGATCCATAATTATCCCTGTTACTACTTAGGAATATTAAAAATGACCAGCATTATGAGATGAAATTGACGCGTATCCAATTTTTATAACGTGAAAGACACACTGCAAATTATATGTATATCAAAGATCTTATTGATCCTACATTTTCTTTTCATCAATTAATTTCATCCATATTTTTCTTATAATACAGTTTTCTGAATACACAGTGTAGAATGTGTATAAAATGTGTAAGATCATAATATAAAATTGAACATCTATACCTGAGAGTAGGTTATATTGAATAGAAATTTAATTAATAAAAGTGTTTGCAATTATTTAACTTTTCATTGAATTTTAATTACTTAATCTTTCGTTAAATATTAATTTTTGTCCATTTGACAAATTAAGTCGAAAAAAATGAAGGATGGATGAAGGTTAATTCACCTCAAGCGGATATTACCTGAATCCTATCTTTTTATCTTCTAATAATTAGAAGAGCTTCTTCTAACTTCGTTTGCAACCTCTTCTTTGATTTCAGGCATGTGTTTTTTGTTCCATAATTCATCCATATATAATGTTTTAATCGAATTCACACTGGACAAATCGATGGATGTTTCTTGTTAACCGTGAAAACTGACAACTGCAAAAATTCACTCATAATATTGAAAAATTGTTTATAATGTTTCTATTACGTTTGTATTCTATTCGTGTCTAATCTAAATGTATAAAGTTTCCGGTTATTGGTTCAGTTATATTTTTCACTGTATGTATAACATATATATGTGTACCTTAATAGCATAACAGGAAACGACACCGTCGCAGTCAATGCAACGAGAATAATCATAATATTGATTAAACATGCGCGTGCAAGTACGTGCACATGTAGTTTCCTCTTCGTAACAGGATTGGAAAATTTCAAGATGGACGTGTTCTTTGTTACGTTCGATCGGAGGTTCAAGGTCGAATCACGCCGAATCTAAAGGCGGCATCGCAGAAGGCGGTATTCTTTGCTTTCTGGCCCATGC